GAGGCTTCCTCATTTTCTATTGGCTGTTCGTTTGTCAATCAAACTTCCTACGTTTCTCGTCGGTGCGCGGGGGATTACGTGGTTTATGCGGCGGTTCTTAGAGGCTTTTTCAAACTGTAGCTTCCTCGCATTTCGCACAAAGTTTGTGGCGATGTCGGACGAGAATCCACGAGCAGTTCGCCGCAAAAAAAAAGTCAGTTTTTGAGTTCGCTGAAAGAAGAAGAGAAGTGGAAAAGGAGCGAAGACAAACCGAGTTGATTCTTGGAGATTTCTTCCAGCGACGGCGCAACTGAAGCAGACGAAGGGTCTGAAGACTAAAGACGCGTCGGTCGATAAATTATTTCTAGACAGGTCACTTCAACAGTAATTCTGAACCTGCACTGGATGTAAACAAGCGTGATTTCTAGAGTAAAGAGGCGGGAGGAGGTGTTTCTACTGAGGGAACTGTGGAGGAGGAAGGTGGTGTCACACATGCACAAGGACTGTCGCTGTATTTCTCTTCCCTTAAAAAAGCCTCTATACAACCTTTAACTCTAACAAAGTGTAAAAATAAAACACCTCTGTTGTGTGTGTACAAAGTGTTATCTGTTTACTCTCAAAACATTAATATAACTCTTGATTTCGGGGTGAAATGTTAAATGAACAGACTGGACTCATATAAACCGTGACAAACTGTTGAAATGAGTCAGTTTTAAAGGTTGTATAGAGGATTTTTTAAGGGAAGCGAAATACAGCGACTGTCCTTTTACAAATGTTGTGCATGTGTGACACCACCTTCCTCAGTAGAAACATCTCCTCCTCCCGCCTCTTTACTCTAGAAATCACGTTTGTTTACATCCAGTGCAGGTTCAGAATTAAAACATAGCCAGAGTCCGCCCCATTCTCTCTCTGGCCAACACCGAGACGCTGATGCTTTTATCACCAATTGAATAGACGACTGTAATGCCCTGCTCTCTGGTCTTCCCAAAAAGAGTATTTCAGGTTTACAATTACTACAAAATTCAGCAGCACGTGTCCTGACGAGGACCAGAGGGCGGGACCACATTACGCCGGTTTTAAAATCACTGCATTGGCTCCCTGTGAGTTTCAGGATCGATTTTAAAGTTCTTTTACTGGTTTTTAAATGTCTTAATGGTCTTGGGCCTTCTTATCTTTCAGAACTGCTTTTACCTTAAGAACCCTCGCGGACCCTGCGCTCCTCCGGCAGCAGGTTCCTGGTCATTCCCAAAGTCAGGACACACACTCACGGAGAGGAGGCGTCTTTTCAGTACTGTGGCCCTCGTCTATGGAACCTGCAGCCGGAGGAGCTCAGGGCCAAAGAGAACGTTCATGTTTTTAAGAATAGGCTCAAGACCCACCTTTTTAGCTTAGCTTTTGAATGAAATATCATATTTTTTACTTGTTTCTACTATACACATTTTAATTTATATTTATTTAGTTTAGACTTATTTTTAGGATATGCAGTGTTTCCTCTGTAGGAGCCTCTGCATCAGGAGCAGAGGTCGGCTGTAGCTGTTCGGTTCTGTCCCGTGGGCTCCTGGTGGAGAGTTGGTGAGCTTGGGCTTCATCTCTCCCCTGGCTCCTGTGGTGGTTCCTGGTGGTGGTGGACGACTCTCTGCTCCTGATGTAGAAGCTCCTCTGATGATGCTTTCTCAACTGGTTCGCCTGTATTCAGCCTCACATTTTACTATGTGTCGTTTTATGTATTTTAGCAGGTTAATGTGTGTGTGTGTGTGTGTGGGGGGGGGTTTGGGTGTTTGTGTGTCTGTGATGTTTGGTTGTGTCGAGTTGGGCAGCTGTGGGGGTTGGGTTGGTGGGTGGGTGGAAATGTGGGATTGTTTTTAATCTGTGTAAAGCACTTTGTGTTACATTTTTGTATGAAAAGTGCTTTATAAATAAAGTTTGATTGATTGATTGATAGAATTACTGTTGAAGTGACCTGCCTAGAAATATTTTAGCGACCGACGCGTCAGTTTTTAGACCCTTCGGACTTTCTTTTGCGGCGAACCGGTCGTGGATTCTCGTCCGCCGCCGCAACAAACTTTGTGCGAATTGCAAGGAAGCGACAGTTTGAAAAAGCCTCAAAGAACCGCCGCATAAACCATGTAATCCCCGAGCGCCGACGAGTCAGTTACACTAAAAATGTAGGGAGTTTGACTGACAGCCAATAGAAAAAGAGGGAGCCTCGTTTTCTATTGGCTGATGTTTATCTGGCCTCACTACGTCCACAGCTGATAGATTTTCATTCTTTTTTTTTTTTTCCGGTCATCATAATGAAAAGGCCGCTGCGTCTCTGTAATGGTATTTTAAACTTTCAATGACAATTTTAAACAACACAAAAAAATCCTCCATACAACCTTTAACACTCCGCTCTTTGCCGTGATTCTCCTGAATGGACAAAGTTCGCAGTTTCTCTTCAGAGTTTGTTTTATTTGACAGAAGTTTGGGGGAGTTTCTGCTCTTCGCCGTGGACCCGCTGACTCAAACTGCAGCGCACTAAAAATAAACGCTTTCTATTTTTATCCTCGTCATTACTTTCGAACAAACCATCCCCACATCCTCGCACCATTCACGTTTTTCTGACATATCTCTCTCTCTCTCTCTCTCTTCTCCCTCTACTCCCTGCATCTCTCTATCCATCTCTCCCCCCTCCCTTTTTGTCTCTCTCTTTATCTCTCTTCTTTCTCTCCACCCCCGCTCATTATCTCTCTAAGCCTCTCCCTTTCGCTCTCTCATCACTCTCTCTCTCTCTCTCTGCCTCCTTTATATTCCCATCCTTTTCTCCCACCCCTCCTCCCTCTCTTTTCCTCTCTCTTCTCCCTCTCCTCCACCCTCCCTCATCACCTCTCTCTGCCTTTCTCTTTCTCGTTATCCTTCTTTAACACTCTCTCTGTCCCTCCTCTCTCTCTCTCTCTCTTACCCTCTTTTCATCCTTCTCTTACCCCCCGCTCTGTGTCTCCCTCCCCTTCTCCCTCTCTCCCAGAACGCTCCAACCTCTCTCTCTCTCTCTCTCTCTCTATGCCTCTCCCTTTCTCTCTTTTACCATCCTCTCTCTCCATCCCTCTCTTACCCTCTCTCTGTGGTTTCATCCTTTTCTCCCACCCCCTCCTCCCTCTCTCCATCCCTCTCTTACCCTCTCTCTCTTCCTCTCTCTGTCTCATTCTTTCTACCTCTCGCCCTCCTCTCTTACCCTCTCTGCCTCTCTCTTCATCCTTCCAGTCATGCTCTCTCTCTCTCCTCCCCCTCCCTCTCTCTCTCTCTCTCTCTCTCTCTCTGTCATTCTCTCTGCCTCTCCTCCTCTTCTTCCCTCTAGTCATTCTCTCTCTTTCTCTGTCTCTCTCTATCTCTCTCTTTTTCTCTCTCTCATCCTCTCACCTTCTCTCTGCCTCTCTCTCCATCTCTCTAGTCATGCTCTCTCTCTCTCTCTCTCTCTCTCTCATTCTCTCTCACTCTCCCTCTCTGCCTCTCCTTCTCTTCTTCCCTCTAGTCATTCTCTCTTTTTCTGCTTGTCGATCTCTCTCTTATTCTCTCTCTCATTCTCTCACCTTCTCTCTGCCTCTCTCTTTCTCCATCCCTCTAGTCATGCTCTCTCTCTCTCTCTCTCTCATTCTCCCTGCCTCTCCTTCTTTTCTTCCCTCTAGCCATTCTCTCTCTTTCTCTGCCTCTCTCTCTCCATCCCTCCTGCTGCACTCTCTCTCCATCCCTCTAGTTATGCTCTCTCTATATATCTCATTCTCTCTCTCTCTCTCTCATTCTCTCTCTTCATTCTCTCTGCCTCTCCTTTTTTTCTTCCCTCTAGTCATTCTCTCTCTTTCTCTGCCTCTCTTTCTTATTCTCTCTCCATCCCTCCTGCCTCTCTCTCATTCTCTCTCTCTCCCTCTCTGCCTCTCTTTCTCTTCTTCCCTCTAGTCATTGTCTCTCTTTCTGCTTGTCGATCTCTCTCTCATTCTCTCACCTTTTGTCTGCATCTCTCTCTCTCCATCCCTCTAGTTATGCTCTCTCTTTCTCTGCCCCTCTCTCTCTCTCTCTCTCTGCCTCTCTCTCTCCATCCCTCCTGCCGCGCTCTCTCTCCTCCCCCTCCCTCCCCCTCTCTCTCTCTCTCTCTCTCTCTCTCTGTCATTCTCTCTGCCTCTCCTCCTCTTCTTCCCTCTAGTCATTCTCTCGCTTTCTCTGTCTCTCTCTATCTCTCTCTTTTTCTCTCTCTCATCTCTCACCTTCTCTCTGCCTCTCTCTCCATCTCTCTAGTCATGCTCTCTCTCTCTCTCTCTCTCTCTCTCTCTCATTCTCTCTCACTCCCTCTCTGCCTCTCCTTCTCTTCTTCCCTCTAGTCATTCTCTCTTTTTCTGCTTGTCGATCTCTCTCTCTTATTCTCTCTCTCATTCTCTCACTCTTCTCTCTGCCTCTCTCTTCTCTCTCCATCCCTCTAGTCATGCTCTCTCTCTCTCTCATTCTCTCTGCCTCTCCTTCTTTTCTTCCCTCTAGTCATTCTCTCTCTTTCTCTGCCTCTCTTTCTTATTCTCTCTCCATCCCTCCTGCTGCATTTCTCTCTTCTCTCTCTCTCTCTCTCTCATTCTCTCCCCTGCTCTCTCTCTCCATCCCTCTAGTTATGCTCTCTCTTTCTCTGCTCCTCTCTCTCTCTCTCTCTCTTATTCTCTCTCATTCTCTCTACCTCTCTCTCTCTCTGCCTCTCTCTCTCCATCCCTCCTGCCGCGCTCTCTCTCCTCCCCCTCCCCCTCCCTCTCTCCTCCTCTCCCTCTCTCTTTCCTGTGTCATGCGTTCTCGGGGGTTACTCTAGTTCATGGGGCGGAGCTTGTTGCGTCACGGTCACGTGGTCAGGATGTTACTGCGAGTCAAAGCCCTCTGCTCCGGAGGACGGGGGGGTTGGGGGTTGGGGGTTGGGGGGGATGCTGTCCGAGACAAATAACACCAAGATTTTATTTTTAATCTGAATCACAATTTCACTTTTTCCACAAATCTTTGCGTTTCAAACTGATGCGTAAAGTTGAGCCATTACGCACCGGCACAACACAGAGACCTCAGCAAAATACTCAACTGTAAACATTGCTTATTACATTTTATTCTTGTTACAGTGCGGGGCTGGTGTAAAATAAGTTAAAAATGTATATAATGTAAGAGTAAATATTATTTTGGAGCTTATACGACGCAACTTTCGTGTTAAATTATCACACAATGGTTCTGAAATGGCACGAGTCCAAACAGGCCTAAAATGTGATTGCCACGTTTTGTTGGACTGTGAACTATTGATTAAACTTTCCAAAAAAAGAGATACCAAAAAAAAAACCTGATAAAGTGATAAGTAAAGGCCGTGTGCAGGTCACCTTGGCGTCTCCCGCCCGGTAAACCTCTGTACCGGGGCCATGTTGTGTGGTCAGCACGACCCGGCGCGTGCTGCTCTAAAGATGCTGCGCTGTGGTCTATGCCCCGAGCTCACGTAAAAAAAAAAAAAAAAAAACTCCTAATATCTACGTAAAGAAATCGGACCACCGGCTTGTCCCCTCCTCCTGCTCCCCCGCTGCGCCTCGCCTCTCATATATGTGTCCTCCCTCCTTCCTCTTCCTCCCTCCTCTTCCTCTCACCCCCCTCCTCCTCTTCGCCTTAATCTCGCGGATTGTCGGCGCGCTTGGTGCAGTCACTGGTGCAGTTCTGAGCCGGGGGAACACGCTGGCTCAATGAGAAAGACATGCTGGCATTCGTTTTGGTCTCTGGATCGCTCTGGATTTTATTAGGTAAGTGCTCGGAGTGTGTTTGGCGCAGAGTGTGTGTCCGCGGAGTGTCTGCTCGTGTCGGGATGGGGCTGCACCTGCCACGATGTGCGTGTTGCCAGGCGACATGTTCTCGCTCTGCCGGTTTCTAGCGTGACTTTGCTTCTGCCAGGGCCTCCTCTAATGACAAATGACTTCCTGCATGTCATGTGTGTTCCTCTTTCACTCACATGTGGTGTAGAAACCTTTCAGTGGAGTTTTGGGTCCCTGCAGTCACATCTGAGCGCATCTCTTTCTGTTTCCTTGTGCGAACTGCACGGCCAGACACTGGGTGTCTTCCCGTTGCTTTTAGCCAGGTATAACCTAGCAAGATGAGCTTGCACGCGGTGCACTTGTTTTGTCTTTACGTGCATCTTTACGTTGCATAATTTGACGTACATTGGATGTGTTGTGTCACATTGCGTAATTAAAATCAAGCCAAATAACTAATCTTTGTGTTTGAATGAAATGGTCAAGTGTGAGCAGATGGAAACGTGCTTGATAGGCCAGCTGCCTTAAGGTCGTTTGACATTGTGCGTAAAAGACCACGTATGCGTCAGATTTGGCACGTCTCGGAAGCGACGTAAGCGCAAATATGAGCGTTTTATCTCATCACGGCGGAGCTGGAGCGTCGTTTGCGGAATGAATGGACGTGGAGGAGCCCAAAAAGCCGGTGGAGACGGCACACTGTCATGTCCTCCACCATGCCTGCTCAGTGATGGAGGCTCGAAGCGTGACGTGCGTCAAACCGGCGCCTCTGATTGGCGGAGCTGTCCAGTGCTGAAATCCCGGGGCATCTGCAGCCTGTGCCGGCCCGGGACGCGCAGGACGAGGGGGTAAACTGCGTCTGTACACTACCATACACAACCCCCCCTCCTGTAGACCTGCTCCTCCCCCGCATACGGAGAGAGAGAGAGAGAGAGAGAGAGAGAGAGAGAGAGAGAGAGAGAGAGAGAGAGAGGGCTACTCGAGGGCGTTGACTTTTACTCGACTTTAAAAATGCAGAGGTGGAGACGCTGTTGTGAGGGCCGAGGTCTAAACCCGGACTCAACAGGGACACTGTGAACCAGGGTCAAACCTGAATGCACTCAGACTAGAACTAAACCCGTTCTAAACCAGGACTAAATCAGTTTAAATCAGAACTAGGACTAGGACTGGTTCTAAATAAAGACTATAATAGTTCTAAATTAGAGCAAAACCAGGACTGTACCAGGTGTAGACAACAACTTAATCAGTTCTAAACCTGGTTTAAACCAAGACTGAACCAGGACTAACCCAGTTCTAAACCAGTTCTTAAGAGAGTCTAAACCAGTTCTAAATATGGTCTAAATGTGGTCTAAACCTGGTCTATAGTGGGATTAAAGAAAGACTAAACTAGGTCTAAAGCAGGTCTATAGCAGGGCTAAATCAGGTCTCAAGCAGGTTTAAAGGAGGTCTAAACCAGGACTAGAGCAGGTCTATAGCAAGTTTGAAGCAGGTCTAAAGGAGATCTAAACATGGTCTAAACCAGGACTAAACGTGGACTAAAGCAGGTCTAAACCAGGTCTGAAGCAAATCTAAACGTGGTCTAAACCAGGTCTAAACCAGGTCTAAAGTAGGTCTAAAGCAGGTCTAAAGCAGATCTGAAGCAGATCTAAACATGATCTAAACCAGGACTAAACATGGACTAAAGCAGGTCTAAAGCAGATCTAAACTTGGTCTAAATCAGGACTAAAGCAGGTCTAAACCAGGTCTAAACCTCTAAACCAGGTCTAAAGCAGGTCTAAAGCAAGTCTAAAATAGGTCTAAAGACGGTCTATAGCAGGTCTGAAGCAGTTCTAGAGCAGATTTAAACGTGGTCTGAAAGTCAAGTCTAAAATGTGGTCTGAACCAGGACTAAACATGGACTAAAGCAGGTCTAAAGCAGATCTAAACCAGGTCTGAAGCAGGTCTAAAAGCAGGTCTGAAGCAGGTCTAAACGTGGTCTGAAGCAGGTCTAAACATGGTCTGAAGCAGGTCTAAACGTGGTCTGAAGCAGGTCTAAACGTGGTCTAAACCAGGACTAAACATGGACTAAAGCAGGTCTAAAGCAGGTCTAAACGTGGTCTAAAGCAGGTCTAAACATGGACTAAAGCAGTGGTCTGAAGCAGGTCTAGGTCTAAACGTGGTCTGAAGCAGGTCTGAAGCAGTCGTAGCAGTTGTAATGTGTGGCTGTCTTAAGTGGCGCGTTAGTGGAGACTGGTTTATTGGATATCAGCACTCCTAAGCCCAGCAGGTCAATGGGTTAACAGCAGCAGGAGGAAGAGGAGGAAGAGGAGGAGGAGGAGGAGGAGGAGGAGGCGGAGGAAGAGGAGGAGGCGGAGGAAGAGAGGGGAGGAAGAGGAGGAGGCGGAGAAGAGGAGGAGGGGGAGGAGGAGAGGCGGAGGAAGAGGAGGAGGCGGAGGAGGAGGAGGGGGAGGAAGAGGAGGAGGCGGAGGAAGAGGAGGAGCAGGGGGAGCGCACCATGGACGCTTCTCCATTGACATAATCTGTTTTTGTTTGGCCCTATCTCCATTAATTCCGCTTTAAAAAGACCATGTCAACACTTCCTAATGAAAATAATTATTTGGAAATTAAACTTAAAGGTTGTATGGAGGATTTTTTGTTTTGTTTTGTTCCATATTGTCATTGAAAGTTTAAAACACCATTACAGAGATGCAGCAGCCTCGTAATTCTGATGACCAAAAAAAAAAAAAAAAGAATGAAAATCTAACAACTGTGGACGTAGTGAGGCCAGATAAACATCAGCCAATAGAAAACAAGGCTCCCTCTTTATCCATTGGCTGTTAGGTTGTCAATCAAACTCCCTACGTTTCTAGTGTGACTGACTCGCCGGCGTGCGGAGATTACGTGATTTATGCAGAGGTTCTTAGAGCCGCTTCCTCGCAATTCGCACAAAGTTTGTCGCGATGGCGGATGAGAATCCATGACCGCAAAAGAAAAAAGTTCGCCGCGAAAGAAAGTCAGTTTTTGAGGTCGCTGAAAGAAGAAGAGCAGGGGAAAAGGAGCGGAGACAAACTGAGGTGATTCTTGGAGATTCCTCGTCCTATAGATGATTTTACATCAACCTGCCGAGGGACTGAAGATGGAAATGAGCCACGTCGGCTATAATCTTTGCATATATACATTTTTAATGTTCATTAATATGTACTGTCCCTTTACAAATAAATAAAATAAGAAAATAAGAAATAAGACTGTCGCTGTATTTCACTTCCCTTAAAAAATCCTCTATACAACCTTTAATTCTGAAGTAAGTGGGGGGTTTATTCTGATTTTAAAGCCAAATTCATTTCTTCCTGGATCATGTTTCACGTTTATTCTTTTTTTTTTTTTACAATTTTATTTATACATTTCGGTAGCACATTACAGAGTATATATCAAACATCATATTTATGCAATTTTTTCCCAAAGAAAAACAAAACAAAACATAGAACAAAAAATAAATAAAATAAAAATAAAGTAAAATAGATTAATAATAATAGCAGTAGTAATAGTAATAATAAAAGGTAAGTTTTAAATTTTAAAAAGTATATTATAATAACAAATGAAAAAAACAGCAGATGTTTCACGTTTATTCTTAAAAAATAATGTGGGTGGTTCAGTTCGTGCTCGTTGGCTCGTTCTTCTGACGTGATCCGGCTCCACCAGTCCCGTCTTCGGACTTTCCTCCACGTCTCTTTGGGTTTGTGAGCGGGATGTGGGAGTGGGCGGAGGTAGTTTGACTCAGTTTGTCTTCTTCCTCCGTGATGAGACGATTCTCCAGCTGCTGCTTCGCAATTATCATCAGAACCACTGCGGGAAAAGTTCAGATCGCGTTTGTGTCCGTGGCGTAACAACAAACCGAAATGACGAAAAAGCCGGTAGCAGCTGAAGTGTTTGTTTTCTTCCGGTCGATGTAAATCCGTTGGTGTCTCTAGGTCAGGTTAAGTCGCTTCATTCGTACCCGTAGGTAAATTTGCTTTGCAGATTTGAGAGGCAGGTTCCACATTTCACATTTCATTCATCCACAAAAAACACATAAAATCACAATTACAAAATAAAGTGTTACAGACGCTCCAGTGCAGAATGGTTTGTTCCATAAACAACCAATTCAAATCATCCATCACGCTTGGCTAAAATCACAATAAATAAATCTTAAATATGTTAAAAACACACAATCTTAGATAAATCGATTACAATTTATTCATAAGTACGACAGCAGCCGGAACGAAGCTCCTTTTAAAACGATTCGTTCTAGATCTTGGGACTAAAAGCCTCAGACCAGAGAGAAGCAGCTGAAACTCTGAGTTTAGTGGATGTTTCACGTCTTTTAAAATCCTCTGGGACGTCGTCTGTAAATGTGTGAGGATGAACAATCACCTACTCGCCAGAACTCTAAACCACCTACTAAACCAGACTAAAACCAGAACTAAACTAGACTAACTAAACCAGGACTAAAACTAAACTAGGACTAAAACAGAACTAAACTAGAACTAAACCAGGACTAAAAACCAGAACTAAACTAGAACTAAACCAGGACTAAAACAGAACTAAACTAGAACTAAACAGGACTAAAACCAGAACTAAACTAACTAAACCAGGACTAAACCAGAACTAAACTAAAACCAGAACTAAACTAGAACTAAACCAGGACTAAAACCAGAACTAAACTAGGACTAAACCAGGACTAAAACCAGAACTAAACCAGGACTAAACCAGGACTAAAACTAAAACTAAACTAGGACTAAACCAGGACTAAAACCAGAACTAAACTAGAACTAAACCAGGACTAAAACCAGAACTAAACTAGAACTAAACCAGGACTAAAACCAGAACTAAACTAGGACTAAACCAGGACTAAAACTAAAACTAAACTAGGACTAAACCAAGACTAAAACCAGAACTAAACTAAAAAGCATGACAATATCAAGTAATCCAAAGTATTCAGATTATGTTACTTACTTTAAGTAATTTAATGGATTACGTTA